ACACACACACACACACACACACACACACACACACACACACACGGTGCGGTGTGAAATCCAGGCAAAGGACACAATATTTGCCAAGGCCAGAGGCCAAGGGTTACTGGCACAGAGCAGAGCACAGGATTCCAGGTTGGGGCTGAGGCACAGGAAACCATGGAGAGACAGTGCCAGGCCTGCCAGCATGATGGCCCTGCCCCAGCATTTTGGTCTATGGCTGGGCAATGTCTGCGTCCCAGAGCTAGGGGTGGAAGGCGATGGGTCAGTGTCCAGGAATGTGGTGTGCGTTACCCCCCAGCCACCCCTACTGGTGATCAAATGTACCTTCTGGGAAAAGGTAAGGTACAGGAGCTCTGTTCTCGTGGGTGGGTGTGGCCCTCCCCTTTCTTACTTGCCAATCCCAGGTGGGCCTGCTTGTGAGGCATCTCCTCTGTTCAGGGAACAAGGTCAACCTGAGGCAGTTTCCCCATCCAACTGTGCTGAGGAGCAGTTTACTAGACTCACAGGTGGCTCAGCCCTGAGGAATTTCCTGTGTCTGGGCCTCACCCCCTCTCAGGGGCCTGGGGTGAGTCAAGGGCCTGAACCTGCATTAGGTGTGCAGGGGTGGGGGCAAGCATTATGCTTGGCTCAGCCTTGCCACCATCACCTCTGCCTTCCCTCACCAGTATCCAGAAAGCTTCGGGTTTGTGGTGAAATTCCCGAGAGGTTGTTCTCCTAGAAAGGATATTGAGCTACTAACCACAAGGTCAGAGGTTCGATCTCACCAGCTGCTCCACAGGAGACAGAGGAGGCTGTCTGCTCCTGTAAAGAGTTAAAGTCTCAGAAACCCAGAGAGGAGGCAGTTCTATTGTCCCTGGCCTCTTCGAGAGGGAATCCACTGGACAGTAGTGAGTGAGAGAGGATATTATGGCCTGGCATTACCTACCTCAGGTGGCAGAAGCCATGTCTTTGCTGAGCAGCTGGGCTGGGTTTTGCATTCCATCTGCCAGGCACCTCTGACCACCCTGTGGGCAGAAACATCCTCTCTGCTTCCCGGGAGCCCCTGTCTCTCCTGTGCCTGGCTCCCCTTTCCTCCATCCTGCGAAGGGGGTGGATCCAGATGAAGCAGTTGGAATCAGGGACAGCTTCCTGGGAGATGCTCCCGGGGTCCGTGGGACAGATCCTCCCTCCGGGTTCAGAGTTTTGACCCTAGACCTGTCTGTTTTGCTCCAGAATCTCCCTAGGGTGCCCAACCTAGGCAGCGATGCCAGGATGCCCGTCTCTGCCTCCCTCCGCCAAGACGGCAGCCAGGAGCGACCAGTGAGCCTTACCTCCACCACCTCCTCGTCAGGCTCCTCCCGGGACAGCCGTGGGGCCATGGAGGAGCCTATCAGCTCGGAGGCGTCCGCCAAGAACGGGGCAGGCTCCCCGCGTGGCCGGCAGCCCCCCAACAGCAACAACAACTCCAGCAGCTGGCGGACCGGGAGGGGGCCCCTCTCGCCATTCAACAGCCGGGCCTCGGCAGGACACAAGCTCAGCTACCTGGGCCGAGTGGTGCGAGAGATTGTGGAGACGGAGAGGATGTACGTGCAGGACCTTCGCAGCATTGTGGAGGTGAGTGCCCACCAGCGTGGGCTCCTGGGCGGAAGGTAGGAGCGGGGCTCCCCATCCCCTCACTGGGCTCATGGACCCTGGCCTCTGCTGGCCTGGCTCTTTTGCACAAAACCCTTTTCCCTCTTGGGAAGGCACATCCTCCCAAACACATTGGCCTTGGAAGGACTGCTTTGCATGGAGGCAGGTGGCACTCTTGTTTACCTGCCCTTGTTAGCAACGCCTCACACTTATGACTGCGGCTGATTGGCTGATGCATGGCTTGGGTTAACAGCACTGCCTGCAGATCCCCAGGGCGCCCCCACATTTGATAGGGAGGGAGAGGGCCTGGGAAAAGAACAGACTCAGGAGACTGGCACAGGGAAGAGATTGGCTCTGGACACAACCCCTTTGGCCTCCAGATCCCGGCTCTGTTGTTTCCTAGCTAGGGAATCTTTGGGCCTCGCTTGTTTTTATTTTGAACTTGGCGAACGTTCACAGAGCAGATCGGTTTCCCATTCGACATGTCATATGCCTTTTGATTCTCTCCACTGGGTGCAATCCCCCCTTGCAACCTCACTTATTTCACTTTCTCCCCGTTCCCAGTCCTCCGCCTCTCCTTCCTGACCCTTCTCAGCTTTGCTCTTGAGGAAAGGCTTCCTGGTTTATCTCAGGTGGTGGATTATTCTAAGCTGTGTGCATGTCTCATTATTGCTGATGTTCCCTTTGTAGACCTGTCTTTCATCTGGCTGGAAATTAAGGGGGGGGGGGAATGGTGGTGTGTGTGTTTCCAGACCTGAGAGGGTCATATTCTCCCGGGCTCCCCTTTGAATTTTGTTTCCCGTTCTTCTTGCTCTCCATCCAGGACCCTCGAGTACCATTCGGTCTAATAGCTGGGCACCATCTAGTTGCTCTGATCTCAGGGCCCCAGGAGATTGTTGTTGAGGTGGTCCATTCGTCCACAGGAGATTGTTGTTGACGTGGTCCATTTGTCCACAGGAGATTGTTGTTGACGTGGTCCATTTGTCCACAGGAGACTGTTGTTGGCGTGGTCTATTTGTCCACGGGAGATTATTGTTGACGTGGTCCATTCGTCCACGGGAGATTGTAGTTGACGTGGTCCATTTGTCCACAGGAGACTGTTGTTGGCGTGGTCCATTTGTCCACGGGAGATTATTGTTGACGTGGTCCATTCGTCCACGGGAGATTGTGGTTGACGTGGTCCATTTGTCCACAGGAGACTGTTGTTGGCGTGTTCCATTTGTCCACGGGAGATTGTTGTTGACGTGGTCCGTTTGTCC